CGAGAAACCTTTAAACGGCCTTACATTGTTACAGAAATATATATAGTATATACATGTGTATGAAAACATTAGAAAATGGGCCGACCTTAACAGGTGGCCTAATAACTTAAGAAAATATGCCAGTTTTATTTATCTTACCAAAAACACACTAGTCTAAAAGCAGAACAGATTCCAATTAAATTTATGCAACTAAATTACACCCCCACCCTCCACCCCCTAAAAATCATCAAAGGGGATCGTAAATTTGAAAGTCATATCGGATTCAAAATATTATTAATATCTTTATTAATTTCTGATGAATCATTTTGTTTGGCACATAATAGTTTTAAATGGTTAATCCTTAACCTAAACGCACCGAGCTGATTAGTAGACTATTTGGACAATGAATAAATGTTTTAAATTAAGGAGAATGTATCGAACAGTGTTAAAAATTCTTAAATATTCTAAACTTCTTAAAGTCTATGTTGACGAGGTTCAAACAGATTTTAAAACGTCTCGTACAAGCATATGTGATTTGAATCGTAAATTATTGTTTAAGAAAAGACATTTGTACGAAAGAAAAGATCATGCTTTTTAACATCTCCCTTGATCTGAGAAAAATTCGCTATAAACATTTTAATTTATACCTGAATTTGCTAATCTTTTAAAGTAAATACATGCATTTCCTAATAAAAGCCAGAAAATAAATTATATAAACTTTAATTTCATCACAATTATGTAAAGTTGTTTACTAAGTATTTGATCTATTCTCTCACAGGAGTTCGCGTATACCCACTGGTATCAATTTTAACGGAGTTTTTAGTAAATAAAAAACGTAAACCTAATTTTATAATCAATAATTGTTTATATTTGTAAAATTGGAAGGTACACGAACTCCTGTAATCGAGAATTTTTTTTTGCGTGATTAGTTGAAACAGTTTTAAAAAGAAAAGTATTTTTAAAAAATTGATTACATTACACAGGAAACTGTCATTTTTCATCTTTTACCCTTATCTGGAACCGAGGATGAAAACGAATTTTCCAAACTTTATTGCACATCTGCAGGATGTATTAGAAATATTCTGGGAATCAGAAATGCAAAAAAGAAAACGTCGATTTTTAGAAAAGGAAGGATAATATTGCGAAATATGAAATGGCTAACATTAAATGTTTAAGTTAATGGAACTAGACTTTTGGCAAAACGATAACTTGAAGTTTTCCTGGCCTATTCTACCTCATGGGTGGAAATTCAGAGACCTTATAGCACATCCACAAGATACCACAACTTATGTATACTGGAATACCTCCTGAAATTGATTTGGGTATTGTTTTAAATGTACGGCCGCGTGGCGCAGTGGTTAGAGATTCTACTCTAGAATCGCGAGGTACGGAGGTGATCCTTACGTCGTGGGTTCGAATCCCACTGTTGAACGTGGAGACCGGTCTTTCGGATGAAACCGTATATAAACCACCTTTCTTTCGATAAATATAAATATTCCCTATTCTATCATAATAATAACAAGATTATCCTTATAGTATATGGGATATATTTATTTATGAAAAGAAAGCTTATTACGCGAGTTTCGAGATTGTAACTCTCCTACGATAGAGGCGCAAAAAGTATCCATTCCAGCATGGAGGTGGGACAGGTTGTTTTTTTACAAACGTGCATAAATAAATGAAGGATATTTACGGCTTTTAAAATTTATTAAATGTTATAGAAAGATATTAATGTTAAGCAGTGATGCATTTGATGATTTTATCAAGCTCAACTATGCATATTTACAAATCTACTTTAAATTATAGGTACTTGAAAACGAAAGAAACGTCATAGTCTTTACAAAAAGTAACCGATTTTCTTGATTGTATAAACATTTTTAAAAGTTAGTAGGTTACAATACGGAAAAGAATCAATGTGTCATTTAGTTTGCCGACGTGCAATGATCAGATGCATGTGTACCGTATTTATTAGAGGTCCATATCTCTTACCTCGTCTGAAAAGTTTGACATCCACTGACATTTTCTTTTTTTGTTACGATTTTTTTGTTTAAAAAATGACCCCTTTACATTAAGTCGGTTATTCTCGAGTTGTATTGTGCATCCTGACAATCATGTAGTTACGATAAACCAGTATATCGATGATGCAATGTATTCGATATATCCAATCTGTCCCACCTGTCTGTTTACGCGGCAACGAAACTCATCTCCTCACCGAAAGAGCGCACTAAGGGAGATAATCTCGAAACTTGCGTAATAAACGTCATATAAGTTATAAATTATAAACTAGCTGTGTCGCATTAGGTGCTGGAACGAAAATGATCCCTAACTGCTCAATGGCCGTATAGCACAAAAGCTCTCCACCTGCAAGTGATGGCGTCTTCGTACGAGTAAAAAAAATTCGAGAGGTACGTGAAGCAACATACAACCAATAAATCAACCAAATGTACAAGGCGTTCTTAAGCATAGGTAAGTTTAAAAATATACAGTTTCATAATTAACCCACAATTTAACCTCAGGGTAACTACCCCCATCGTCTCAAGCCACGGTCCGGAGTCTACATTTATAGCTCTCTCCAGAATAGGAGAGGATCGATGGTGCATTTTGGTCGTGGTTTGCGACGATGAACTACCCCCAGTATATATCTTTTTACTGACGTCTTAGGATGGATGACATCAGATCTTCAGTGCGATATGTGCTCTGTGCATTTATTACCAATTTTTGTGTAAATCTTTGTTTCTTTTGTGAGTGGTTCTCTATCGGGTTTGTCATTTGTAAAAAAATAAACAAGAGGCCCATGGGCCACATCGCTCACCTGAGAAGCTTTGACCATTCTGTTCTTTACCAGATTTCCCCCTTGTAATAAATAATGCATCCCCACCCTACCCCACTTATCATAATTTATACATTTTGAAATCTACGCTACCCAGGAATCCTTCCATGTGCACATGATTTTCAGCTTTTCTGGCCCAGTGGTTCTTGAGAAGAAGATTTTCAAAGATTTTGTAAGAGTATATATTTCTATGTAAAACTTTGATTACCAATTGTGGCCCCGCCCTTCCCCCGGGGTCATGATATTAACAATTTAGAATCTACACTACCCCCAGGATGCTTCCACATAGGTTTCAGCTTTTCTGGCCCAGTGGTTCTTGAGAAGAAGATTTTCAAAGACTTTTCCTATATATTTCTATGTAAAACTTTGATTCCCCATTGTGGCCCCGCCCTTCCCCCGGGGGTCATGATTTTAACAATTTAGAATCTACACTACCCCAGGATGCTTCCACATAAGTTTCAGCTTTTCTGACCCAGTGGTTCGTTAGAAGAAGATTTTTTAATGACCCCACCCTATTTTTGTCTTTTCTTGATTATCTCCCCTTGAGAGGGGACTTGGCCCTTTGTTTTAATAATTTAAATTTCCCTTTACCAAAGGATACTTTGTACCAAGTTTGGTCAAATTTGGCCCAGTGGTTCTTGAGAAGAAGTTGAAAATGTGAAAAGTTTACAGACGGACGGACAGCTTGACAGACAGACGGACGGACGGACGACGGACAAAATGTGATCAGAAAAGCTCACTTGAGCCTTCGGCTCAGGTGAGCTAAAAACACATCTGCACCTAGTTCAGGTTGAAAATGTAAATTTCGTAACCTTCTTGCACATCTACGAGACGCTACCAATGAATTATTATCTTTAAAATTACGATTCGCTTACTGCATTAAGAGGGGCCTTTGAAACCGAATTCTTTCAGCAAATATGTCTTTTTTACCTCCCATTTATGATTTGGGAAAAGTTTGAGACCTTGTTGAACCACAGGCACCTGAATTTTTATCCATCAAACGCCCAATAAGCCAAATATCGTAATTTTTGTCGATATTTGGGTATTGAGCGCTTGATGGATAAAAATTCAGGTGCCTGTGGTTGCACATATACATGTACACAGGCCAAAAGATGAAATTCATTATACCCCCTGCTTGAAAAGCGGGAGGGTATATAGTACATGTAATTAGGATGTCCATCTGTCTGTCTGTTACGCTTTGGGGTACCCATATCTCTTATCCGCAGCTCCTCTTATACCACTAAATGAAATTTGATGAGACTTTCACAGAATCTTTATTACATATTGCCATTGTGCACCTCCTATTTTACTTTTTGATCCGACACATATTTTGGGTTTTCCATAGCAAAACATGGACACTGCCATTTATACACATATGGGAGGCGGGGGGTATAATTTAGTGAGCCCATGCTCACAGTACCTCTAGTTTTCTTTATGCTAAATTAAATGCAAGAGTAACTGTAGGAAATCTCGGAAGAAAATGAGACGAACGGAAGAACCAGGATACTAAAAGGCTATACCCAATCAAAAATGGGTTTCAAAAATTCAACTTGATCTACTGAGTTCATGTGCTTCAGTAGCTTTGAAACAAAAGCATATCTTCATTTCAAGACTTGAACACGTCTATAATTGTAAACATTCTCATTTTTCTGTAATTTCACTTGGTCTCTTCAAATTTATTCGTTTGTAAATATAACATGTACATCTGATTTTGTTTAAGATTAATATAATTATATAGCTATGAATTTATCTTGTTGATTTACCAGGAGAAGTTCATGGATGAAAGATGGCAATTTTATTTTTTACAAATAAAATTTCTGTCACAGGCAAGTAAACACAGATTATATGTATATACAAACAAATAAAGAAAATAAAACTATAACAATTAAATAAAAGCAAACACTGAATAAAAAGTACATGTATATATGGATCCTAACAAATATAGATCTATAATGTAAGAAAATAAAAACACGGCAAATGAATGCCATTTCCATTAGCCATCAAGATATTCTTGCAAACTGCCGTTATGTACTAGATAAAACTCCATGTATTTTGCATTGCAGTATTTCAATGTACAATGGTTATAATGTGTCCTTGTTACGTTATACTGATTAAGGAGTATGTAAAGGATGGGGTAAAGTTTTGTTAAATGACATGTAAATCTATATAGATTTCACACATTTAGGCCTATTGAAAATAAATCAAGAACAGCCATGCCTATGGATATCTATATAAAGCAATGATACTGCACAAAAAGGTGCCGAGCAGCAGTGACAAAGAAACTCCAAATTGTCCTGAAAACAAATAAAAAGAATTTAGTCATAAGTTTGATCATTTTTCTTATTAAAAAAAAAAGTTAATTATCAGATTTTTTTTCATTGATGTTACATTGTACCCCGAATGATAAAATTAAATAATCCTCAAGATATTATTCTTCTTGGGAAAACCATCATTACATATCATAATTATGACATCATGATGACATCATCATAATGTCATCGTATGAATAATCACCTGCTCCTGCTTCTGCGCATTCCTCAGCATTGGTACAGCTAGCATACGTGGCCGACTCGTCGCTTCCATCGTCACAATCAGACGAACAATCGCACTGGAAAGTCTTATCGATGCACGTGATTCCTCCGGATTGGCACGTGAACCACCCGGTCGGACATAGCTAAATGGGTAAAAAAATCTTCATTCTAAAAATTCAAATCCTAATGAAATTACAAAATTTATCTAAATTCCCGATCATTGATACAGTGATTGAATCAAATTATCAAATTAAAAGAAAAAAATCATTTCCAATCTTAGAATTCTTCATCTCATCGATCAATCTAAAATGATTGATTGATTGATTTTACCTGTTGATACTGTCCGGCGGCTACAGTAGGGCAGGCTGCAGTGTTACAGTCACTAAAGTCAGCCGTTCCCCCGGGGCAGTCTAATCCGCCATTAGCCGGGGCTGGATTGTCACAGCGTCGTGTTCGAGACTTTTGCCCGCCGGCACAAGTTTTGGAGCAGGAGCCCCAATTAGCCCATGCTCCCCACGCTCCATCGACTTAAAAAAAGAGAACAAATTACACTGCATTCTTTTTAAAAATCCATTAATTTTTACATTATGTATACTTGTTTTCCCATTTCCTACCTCTATGAAAAGTTTGTAGTTAATGTTTTAATCTTTTCAACTTCACGTCTACTAACTTACACAACCACTTAAGCTCTACTTACTTATGCAGACCTGAGTATTGCAGTCTCTAGAACTGGCATCTGATCCAGGACATGTAGCGCCGCCATATTGGGGAGCTGGGCTTGTACAAGATCGGGATCGTGATTGGGTTCCACCACCACACGTGACTGAGCATGTGCCATACGAGCCCCAGCTTCCCCAATTTCCGTCAACTTTGGACACAAAACATTTAAATTATTACTTCAGTATTGCTTTATGAAATGTATATCAACTGATACACATTGATTCTGTATACAGTAGATATACTAATAGTAACTTTTTGCGCATGGGTTTATTTTATGCTTTGAATGTAGTAGCGCATTTTCCGCGGAAATTTGTTACATCGTACTTAATACAAAAAATGTTAACGTTATTCCGCAGATTTATGAACTCATGGAGAAAGTACGTTTACTGTATTTTGTTTATGATATATTTTTTTTTCCTTTCTCTCGAAACGCAATGGTTCGAAAAAAATGATCTTATACTACTTTACCCAGTTACTTACTTGGGCAGTGTTGAGTATTGCAGGATTGTGATGAGGTACTACTTCCGGGGCAGTTGGCGCCATTATATTGAGGGGCAGGGTTTGTGCACGTGCGTGATCTCACTTGTGTTCCTCCGCCACAGGTTACCGTGCACGTTCCCCATGTACCCCAGCTTGCCCATTTACCATCAACTATTAAACGTTTAAATTCAAATGTAGCAATAATCTAAAATAATCAATGTTAGCAGCAGCATTATGACGAAATCCAGCTTTGATTATCAATTGTACAAAATTCATTACATTGATGTAGAGCTAAAATATATCTTCTTTCAGAGTTTTGCTCAATAGACTTGAATATAAAAATGGATAAACTTTAAATTAATAAATGGTTTCGAAATACTTTAAAATAAATTAATGCGCTTCATAATCTTATTTTATGCTCTAACTATTTTGACGAAGATCAAAATGTCTTCACTTACTTGGACAGTTATGGGTGTTGCACGTACGGGTTCCAGACGAGAAGTTTGGACAGTATGCTCCGCCATACTGTGGCGTAGGATTGGTACAGCTGCGTGATCTGGATTGTATTCCTCCGCCACACGTCACGGTACACGATGCCCATGATTGCCAAGATGCCCATCCTCCATCAACTGATATATAGATTTTTTTTTTGGTTAAGAATTATTCAATTAAATTTCATTCATCTGATAGCTTTATGTTTTCTTTCATTTATTTTCTGATTAAGAAAAGTTTGCTACAAGAAGGTCAATTTAGTTTGCGACATTCAGAGAATAGGGCTTACTTGGGCAGTGATGTGTATTGCACGAAGCAGACGACACGGAACTTCCGGCGCAGTTCGCTCCATTATATTGAGGGGCGGGGTTGGTGCACGTGCGCGACCTCTGCTTTGTTCCTCCACCACAAGTCAAAGAACAGGAACCATAACTACCCCAGCTGGCCCAACCACCATTGACTAAATATAAATACAAAAATTATATCAATTCAGAAGAATTCGAATGAAAATACAAGTAAAACTGAGTTAAATTTAATAAACACATGATGGAAATACAACAATATTTTTTTCTCCAAAATACTTTTCGATATTTCTTGCTTGAAAAGATTTCCGAATAACTATTGAGAAATTCTCAAAGACAAAATATAATTTTTTCATAGGTTATTGGCTTTTAGATTTTCTAGAGTTTGATAAAATAGATGCGTTTTAATGTGTCTTTGCAGAGCCTTGCAGAAGGAAAATGTCGGATGATAATCAGTATTTTTTTTGTTAGTCGTAACACGTTCAACAAGCGTCCTGGGAAGGGGGGGGGGTAATATTTATAAATTAAAACTACAAATGCTTGTTATTTAAGCATAATTAAAATTAAAATTGAGGTTTCGGAAAGGACACTCAAAAACTCAGCACCATTTCTAAATTGATTTTGCAAAACCTCATGTCCAAGTTTATTTGAAATGATTAAATACAAGACCCTCAAACTTAACAATCATACAGATATAGATTATGGGACCTACCCACTTCCTCCATCATATGCAGCATACAGGATTAATATACGCCCTGATTTAAAACAATTGAGGCAGTAACTGTATATCTAATGCGTATGCTATATTTATTTTTCACTAAAGTTGTGAATGATCCCTAAAATCGTCTTACTCGGACAATGATGGGTGTTACAGCTTTGCGTCGCGGATGCAGAATTCGGACAGTTCTTCCCTGAGTAAGCAGGTCTGGGATTGGTACATGTGCGCGTTTTCCTTTGTGTTCCTCCGCCACAAGTCACAGTGCAGCTACCCCAAGACGTCCAACTTGCCCAGCCACCATCGACTTAAAAATGGAAGTATTTTGTTCATAAATATTCTTAGTTTGATCAATTCAAAAGATTGAAAAATCGAGTTTTGTTTTATCTTAAAGTATACTTTCGTTTTTCCGCAAAAAATTTTGCCCGAAATGAAAATTCCTTAAAATAAAAGAAATACTGTAAACCAACTTTAATTCGCGACGACTTTATTTCGCGATTTAGCAGCAATAAACTAGTTCGCGACAATTAATTTATGTGATCAAGCTTCTTTGGATCTGTTGTTAATAGACACAGAGACTTTCAGTACCGGTTCAATGCGAGAAATATTCGCGATGACGAGACTCTTGCGAACTTTGCGGAAAATTATCGCACGCGAATAAAAGTTGGTTTACAGTTTTCAACAAAATACGTCCATTATTAAAGAGTTCACTTACTCGGGCAGTTGTGGGTGTTACAGCTCTGTGAACCTGTTGAAGCAGACGTTCCTCCCGAGCAGTAAGATCCGCCGTAGTTAGGGGCGGGATTGGAGCACGTGCGTGACCTTGACCTTGATCCGCCTCCACAAGTTCGTGAACAACTTCCCCATCCACTCCAAGAAGCCCAGTTTCCATTTACTATTGACCGGAAAATATATTATTACATGAACTCCAAGGGACTCTCTTAACTTTTTAAATTCTAAGAAAGGTGTTCAAGTTCTTTGTAGGTATCGCCAAGTGTAACAATATTTGAGAAACAGAGAAAATTGAGAAAATGACCAGACTTGAACAGGTTTCAAATGTTGGTCCAATCTGATTGAAATCAGATCTTTGTTACGTTCCGAAATTCTGATGGCCACTATTCAAAGATCAGATCAGAATTTCGGATGGTAACAAAGATCTGATTTTAATCAGATTGAATGTTGGTCCGTCCTCAAATGAAGTTAGGGAACATCTGAACACCCTACATGTGTAAATACATCGCTTTCCCTTTAATAACCTCGAGACTAATGATTCCAAACCAGACTTGACTTTCCAAGATGAAAAAAAGTCCCATGGTAGGTGATGGCACAGGACCAAGAAAATTTTTAATTCATTTTTTTTTTTTTGGTAATTGTTGCAAATACAGTCCTGATTTTTTTTTTTTTTTTTACAAATTACACTTGAATGTCGTAGGCAAGATTTAAATTCAATATTCATTATTATAGTTATGTATGTATTAGGTGCTATTTTAGTTTGCCGACTTTTGACACGATTAGAAAGGTGGTTACTGTTTATTTATTTATTTAGGAGATCTAGAATAAAACTTAACAAAATTTTTCACAATGTGTAAGCATTTGTAAGATTATAACATATAATAAAACCTTTGCTGAAAGTTTTATGCTGTCAAAAGAAGTCTTTTTTTTTCTTTGATTGATTTTTGGTCTGGCTAAACCGATTAAGAAAAAAAACAATAAACACTTCTATGTTACTTACTTGGACAGCTGTGGGTGTTACAAGACGCTGATGACGTGGCGGATCCAGGACAATTATCTCCTCCCCATTGAGGGGGCGGGTTGTTACATGACCTTGACTTTGTCTTAGTTCCACCTCCACATGTCCTTGAACAAGAGCCGTAGGACCCAAATCCTGACCATCCTCCATTTATAGGGGGAGCTGTGGAAATAATTTTGAACAATATTATTTCAGGTATGTGATACATATTAAAATTTTAACCATATATTGGGGTTTTTTTTGCAAGTTTGTCATATGCACTATGCAGATGTACCTATACACGCATACCACTTCGAACTGACAGTGACGTAGCTTTGAAAGTACTGTTAACAAAGTTAAATGGTGTATTTTTGCAATGGATTACATATTATAACTGTCTACAGGTGTTTTTCCAGTACGACTCAAGAGTTGAAAATTTTGGGAAATCACACTAAACTAGTTATTCCTTGACAGAGTAAATAAAATATTTTACTCACTGTTTTTCTTGCACATGAACGCCAATGTTCCGCTACATTTACCATCATTCCATCGCCCACTGTTACCGTACATCATATTACAATCTTCGTCTCCAGAGTTGTTTGGCTCGCCTGTTAAAATATGTATTTTTTTAAATTTGCGTTAGAAGTGGTCCACCATGTAATTCTATTCTGCTGACTTTTTTGGCGTGTTCTTAATAATAATTGTGTAATTAACGCGGTATATAATTTTACGTTTGGATTTGTTTGATTGTCAAAGTGACTTTATTTCATATATGAGGTTTTCAACAGTTCATTTTACGCAGTTACAGTAAATTACAGTAAGACTGACAAGGATTATGGACAAAGAAATTGAAATGACCTCGTATTTATTCGTCCAGAAAAAGAAAAAAAAATGGAAAAAACGAAAATCTCTGTAAGTAATTTCAGCTGTTACTAATTCATTGGGATTCTCTATATTATACACTTATCCACTGGTTGTGAGTGGGATAGCTCTTTTATCAAACCCGCGACACAGAACTATTCCCCGAGGGCTTGCCCGAGAGCTATCCCACTCACAACCAGTGGATAAGCGTTTTATTATACTGATGTATAATATAATTTCTGAGGTTTGAATTTTTTTAGAGTAAGATAATTTTGCAAGAATAATCTGAAACCTGATGACGTCACAATGCTACTGAAGTCATTATGACATCATCAGTTTAAAGATTTATCACTGGAAATCAAAATTGGTGGCAACAATTGCATGAAAATTTTCCGAGGGTGGATAGCAAAAACTACAGTCAAACTTATTTTAAGAGGCCACCTTTGGGAAGTCTGTAAACTGGCCGCTTAAGACAGGTGGCCTCTTATTCCAGTTTGCCCTCGAAAAGCACATTTGGTCAATAAATAAACAACATTATGCACTACAGTTAAATTAATTAATCATAATTAAACAGTTAAATTTCACAAAAGCTTTTTATGTGTATATATAATAATTCAGGCTCATTCAAAAAGAATATTAAAGAATTCGAAATGTTTTTAAAAGGTTTTGTGCATGTTTCTGTTCCTACATATTAGTTAAACATCTTGCATTCATAAGTGTGCTTTTGTTACATTGAATTATTAAATAAATTCTTTTAATTTTTATTTGAAGAAATACATACAGTGCCTATTATCCTTTTTTATGAAGAAAAGAAAAATACACAAAAATACAGTTAAATGGTAAATAAAATAAAGCTTAGAAATTTAAGTAAAAATATGTCAATAATAATTTCACTTACAAAAAGTCAGCAGTGTAACACCCCCCCCCCCAACTTTAAATGGTAATTAACTTACTTGCTGAAGTTTATAAAGTCTGATTAATTTTATTGTTTATAAAGCTGTCAGAATTTCTATTTAAGGGGGGGCCTATTTCCAAAAAGTCTTTGTGTGATATTTTCAAAACTTTGACATTTCTTTCATGGCCACTTGCTCTTAATTTTTAATTTCTTTATACTTATTTTTACATGCAAAAACTGTGAAATTAAAAAAAAAGATTAAGAAATTAGTTCTCGCTAAAAGAATCAAAAATGTCAAATCACATTCAAAATCAACAAGTATTTGAATTATTTGACTTGTATCTTTAAAATGAAGGTAAAATCATTGCAATTCAATGAAAAAAATAATCAAAGTAAGTATTACCCCATTTTTCTTGTCGTACTTTTTACAATTCCGACATGCATTAAATCTTAAAAAGTCTTTGTGTGAAAATGTTGTAATTCATATTTTTTGAAAGAAATGAATTATCTTTTTTTCTAATAAAGTATACCTTTATGATTGAATTTTACTCTTGTGTCATAAATATTGACCTTTCTGCACTAAGACAAAGGTAAGTAAGCACTGGAAAACATCTGCATATAAAATTATTTTGTGGAAAACAAGTATTTTGTTTTGATTAGTAACAATTTACACTGATCTAATCTTTTCTTTTTTGATTCCAATAACCACCCCTACCCCCGCTCTACCCCGACAACAACCAATACCTTTAAGAATTAACCTAGGAATGACTTTATACAATTTAAATCTAAATGTACTAATCAATAAGCAAATATAGGTACAAGTACATTTCTTAATTTTTTTCTAAGTTTTATCGAGAAAAAACAATTAATGGAATAATTTAAGCCGCTTTCTTTGTTGTCTTGATTTATACACCTTTAGCACATATATCAGCATATTTTGTCTAAAATTGCTATGATTTACCAACCAAAGGAAGAGATTTCTAATATCAGCAAACTCCATTAATAAAATAAAACTGCTATTAATGATGTATAAATTTTCTTTTTGTAAACTGTGAACATTATTGATTAACAATGTTAAGCCTATATCACAGTTCAAAAGTCAACAGGTAAAAACAAACGTCGCTATTGTGACGTCACATAACGCTGCTTTGACGGAGAACGACATAGGTCCCCCCTTAACATACACACAGTTGACCAGAGAGATGTATTTACGCAGTTGAAAATCATTCCATAACACAGGTGTCAAGTGCAGTAGAGCGTGTTTAATCCCTATCGATCCTCTCTTGATTGTGAAATTCACGAGAAAATCATGGCATATGAAGCACTTTGTTTTTACAAGAGTAGCAATTAGGACTTCTACATGGAATCAAATTTAAAAGGTGTGAATTTCGTTAACTAGAGGAAAGTATCAATTGTAATTAAATTCTTTTAATTTTTCAATCGGCGATCTTGAAAAATAATTACATATTGATCTAACAGAACAAATATTTTTTTTTCATAACACAAACAGAGTTCAACGTATCTAAAACCAATTTGTTTAATTGCATTAATAGGTTAAATTGACGAGGATATAATTACCCAAACCAACACTTTTAAAAGAGGTGATAGAATCGCAACAAGTGCCGAAATGGCCGCCTATTACAGTGTCAATAACACTGTTGGGAGAGGATTTGAGTGGCCGCTGGCCGCGTTACACAGGTGGCCGTTTATTCCAGTTAAAACATATAGGAGAACTGAAAGTGGCCTCTGACCGCGAGTGGCCGTTGATTTCGGGTGGCCGCTAAGACAAGTTTGACTGTATACCCTGGGGTATAGCTTTGCTATGCGTGGAGTATAAAGGATGGTTATTTTACCTTCTGAACTTTATATAGGAAACATTTTAACAGAAGTATAATAACATCGTCTACTCGTATTCAATGTTACGGCTTTATATTTAGCCAAAGAATAAAATTTTACATCACCATGACATTATTTGTACCTGAATTCCAGTTGGTGTAGCCCCACGAGAAGGTACCCCCAGTCCACGCCCACGACCCCTCCTTTGGTCCATCGAAGCCTCCCATCCAAATATGGTTACCTCTTGCTAATCCTATCAGAATAAAGATAGCAAGATCAATGTCTAGTTTCTTGAGAAAGTAACAAGTTCTAAGATACATTAACCATATACTAGTAACTTACTAATATTGTCATTGATAAAAATGATCGAAAATGCAGTAATATAATCACTGCATATGATTAATTAAATATAATTTTATACGACATTTATGCAGGAATTATTTCTGATCATTTTTCTGACGTTCTTACCATATAATTTTCGGAACCATAAACATAGGTAAAAAAAATATACATATTTACATGAATTTTTTTCAAGGTAAGAAACCAAACGCTATTTCATGTAAAGATGTTCAACTTTTTGTATACGTCTAGTATTGTGTTTACGAGGGTTGTCCCGTAAAATCGTGGACAAGTTGTCTAGTGTACAAAATAAACATCACTGCGTTCTGAAATTTTCACTATCACTTAGTACATATCCTGGATATTTACCAGGTTAGCTGAGTTGGCCTGGCAAGTCTTCAGAGCGTTTGACCACGTGACCTTAGAGGTGAACAGTTTGTAACATTTACCGTTCCTGAAACTCCACGTGGAATCGCAGGCTCTTAGGGCAGCTGTAGGTAAAAAAAAATATCTTACATATTTACATGTAAAATAATACGCTATTTTGTTGAATGGCAAGGTAAGAAAACAAACGCTATTTCATGTAAAGATGTTCAACTTAAGTTTTTATATACGTCTAGTTGTAGTGTTACCGTAAATTGTATACTTCGATGGTCTACTACACTTAGGTCATGTGATATTAAGGAATTCAAAAAAAACTCGAAAAAGTACTTATTATTTTTAATATACTGCAGTATATAAATTATCACCCCCTAACCATATGAGGTAATCCTCAAAATGTGGCTGGACCTTGTTAAACACAAACAAACTGATAGTTAAACTGAGATAACGAAAATAGTAAATAAGCTCAAAAATACATTGAACACAATACAAATGCATGCGGAACGGGAACACTGAACTCTTAAAGCATCATATTTTTGTTAAGGTGCCATGGGGGAGTAAGCATCCCCTCAGCCCTGTCAAATCCGCCTAGCTCTTGTCATATTCGTGAAAATGCCCGATCGAATTAAAAAAAAAATTTCAAGACAATTCAGCGTGTAAATATGCATGAGAAATATCAACCAGTTCTTACTTGTTTGTTCACAGATGTACGCCATGCTCCGACTACATGGGTAATCGTTCCACCTCCCACCGGATAAAAGACTGGCACAATCCTCCCCACCGGCATTGTTTGGCTCCCCTGTTTTTAGTTGTAGATGAAGAAAAAAAATTTAAACTGAAGTATAGAACTGTAATATTATACATGTGTATGAGGAAACGTTATGCATTCGTGGCTACATATTTTCACACCTTAACAAAAACCAACGTTAATAACCCCCCCCCCCTCCTCCACGAAAAGTAACTTTTATTTTCTAGAAAGAACTCTAGACTTGTTTTTTCGTTTGTTTGTTTAACGCAACTCTCTTTTCAGTCCCCCCCCCTCCACCAGACCCTTCACTAGTTGTAAACATTACATATACATGTACATCCATCAGTGTAGACCCATTGATTTGTTTATTTAAATACTTACCACCATTCCATTTGGTGTACCCCCAGGACTGGAGACTGCCGTACCAGAGCCATTGTCCCTCCGTGGACGAATCGGAACCACTGATCCAGAACTCATGTCCTCTAGCAAGGTCTACAAACGAACGCAGTATATAATTAATTTTCATGTATTCAGAATCTCGGAATAAATATTTGAATCACACACACCCGTATATACAAGCACATGTAGCATCGGTACCAACAATACTTTTACTATTAAAAATGCTAATTAATTAAGGGCGATTGTCCCTTCTTGTTTGAAGTCATATAAAGGAAATGTCGCAGTGTATGAAAAAAAATGGTATTAAAAGGAGTTCAATCTTACCCCCGCCCCCATCCGAGCAAACCCCACGAAATAGGATTTTCGAGTTTGATACCCCCCCCTCCCGGTTTTTTTAACTGATGAGCTATTGTTCATTAAAATATATCTTACTGTGAGCAAAGTTCTGCTCGCCATCAGAGCCGATATCCACCAAGCTGCTGCTCACCGTCTGACAAGCTTTAAGGGCATCCATCCAGGGTCTCTTGGTGGTGTAAAGTCGGTAACAATTCTCGCCATATTTAGTCCAACCCGAGGTACACGTAATTGCAGAAACTCGGTGCTCTAAATTGTTTTTAAAAAAAGTTATTATGAATTTCAATAAATACGGATTTCACCCCTTTTGGTTTGTTAAATGTGGGGATACGTCAAGGAAAAAGTAATAAAAAAAATAATCCTTTAAATAATTTTTTATTAGATTGAAAATATTTTTGAAATTTATTAAATTTTCCCATTATTTTCAAAATATGTTTTTTTTTTTCATGCGGAAAATTAAAAATACTTACCTTGCACTACGAGTGCTACTATTACCAATGCAAAAAGCATGACCCTGTAGAATACCTTCCAACAAAATAAGAAAAATATTTTTATAACACAGTAATCTCCATTCTACCTCAAACTTTATAATTTTTCTCTTCTATTTTATTTTTTTTTCTTCACTCATAATAGATTTTCTATCCCTTTTTTAAAAACTCTAAACCTACTTTTAAATGGATTTTAGCAACAAATTTTCTCATTATTTTTACTGTTTTGTCCTCATATTATCACATTAACATTATTTTATTTATTTATTCATTTTTGAAAAAAAAGTCAAAAATTAAAAACATCTCTACCGATTTAGTCTTCAGAAGCCCAATAGCTGCAAAGGCAACAGCGCTGCAGCCAGTCTCTGGACTTTGCCTTCAAATAAAATTTCACAAATGAATTTCAAAATTAAAATTAAATTAATGAAATTTGGAAGCAAATCATTATTTTAAAAAGTCGGATTTTAAAAAAAGCAACATTCAGAATGCCAATTCTTGTAAAGCTGAATAATTCAGTTTTAATCAAATTTCAAATTTTCTAAATTTAGGGTTGAGCTATGGAAATCGTCGAAGAAAGAGGAATTCATACATATTTCTTCAAGTTTATATTCCAAATTCTCAAAAAATATAGGGGTTGTTGGGGTCGTGTATATGTTACTCTCTCTCTGCTATATAATCATCGATATCATAGTACTTAGCACAGTACTTAGACTCAATCGCATCATCTTGGGCCTTTCCGTCAGAGGTCGGAAAAACTTTCCCGCATGGCAGTCGCGATTGTCACAGGATCAAGACCAATTCTCCGCAAATAGTAGATCATCAGAATTTCAACAATATTAACAAAAACTATTGACCTAAAATTGCTCGTCCATTTATAAAAGAATGCCATATTTCCAAATTTGATTTTTAGTCCAAAGTTCTAAAGCACATTCCTTAGTTCTTATCCACAGTGCAGTCGCCCACGTGCGCAGTGATTAGAGCGTCTGCTCCAGAGTTGCGAAGTAAGGAGTTGATCCTTACGTCGCGGGTTCGAATCCCACTGTTGGACGTGGAGACCGGTACTTCGGATGAGACCATATGTAATAAACCGAGGTCCCATGTCGCAGTAGGTGCTGGCACAAAAAAAGATCCCTCACTGCTCAATGGCCCTAAGTGCCGAGTATAGGACAAAATCTGCAGCTCTCCACCGGCAAGTGATGGCGTCTCCATATACGTGAAAAATTCTTGAAAGGGACGTTAAACAACGTATAATCAATCAATCCACAGCACAATGTTCATTAAACTTGACGCATACAGTTCTATAATCCACATTTAAAGAAAATGTCCTTTGTTTCATTCTTCATAATCTTTGAGCCGTCGGTTGGATTTCCTGTGATGTTATTCTCCAAGTGGTTAAACATACATTTTTTTTCACGAATGCTTTTAGCATTTTTCCGTTATTAAATTTTCGTAATATTTAAGTGCATCATAGAGCAGATAAATGTTACGTTTATGAAACATTTTCAGCAAAAAAAATTTAAACTACCATATTGAAAGTTGTTTCACAAATCGTCAGAGTATCCACATTATTTCAACTCATCAAGGACACCCCCCCCCCGAAAAAAAATGAAAAAAATGTCAATATAAATTCAAACAAGGCAAATCCTTTAAGAAATGAGTAAACAGTTTTTAAATAATGTATGTATAAATTAGAAATTAAATTTCCATCCAATGACGACATTTATTGGAATATTTGAGGTAAAAAGAATCGTTCTAATAGCTCCTTTTAAGATCGATAGTGCATAGAAATCAGTCGGAAAGCGCCAAAGAAATCGGGAAGTGATCAAGTAAACTGCAGCTAATATAATTTGCTCCAATTTGAACCCACTTTGTTCATGAAAATAAATCACTGAAAATTCATTAAAATCAAAAAAAAAAAAAAAAAAAATCGCCATACCCTTAGATCCACTCTGGACACTAGCACTTTCTTGTATTTTTTAAGACATTGGGTCACTAGTACCAACGTTTTATAGCATGTACTTTGATTGACCTGCTGACGTCATTCTTCTTGGACTAATTAATGCAATAATCTTCAATGCCAAAAATGTTTCAGTTGTTGCCAAAATTTGTGCTCGAGAAAATTTAAGAAAAATTCCAAAACATAAAAAATCTGGGATTGAATAATGTTTAAGATAGTAGGACTTTTGGGAGCATTTGATGTTCTAAGGTAATGCAGTTTTAAAAAAAATACGGAGTTTGCGATAAATTGAATCTTAATGCTTTTTTTTTAATTGAGACAGAAGATTTGACTATTAAAAACATTTAATCGCATGCCCCCCCCCCCTTGAGAGAAATAGAGAGAGAGAAAGTGAGAAAGAGAGAGAGAAGGGGGATTTAAAGATATTTTGACCTTATCGGGTGCTTAAAGATTTTAGATTTTCTTTAAATCAAATGAAAAGATAAACCCTAATCCACTTTAGAACATTACTTGAATTTTCTAGATTTATACATATAGTTAATAACTGTACATGAACAATGATTAGGCGTCGGATGCATGCATGTTAAGGGGGGCGGGGGGGCTAAACCAACAAAAAAAGCAAAGTCCCAATTTTCAATGCCTATATATGTATTTTGTCTATCTTTACCAAAATAAGGGGGGCTAAGCCCCCGGTTAAGATGCCTATGCCATGTACATTAATTTTAACCAATGGTTACTATACATGAAGGTTCTCTATTTGCCCATTGTGAAATGTCGGATACCCACGGGTGATCTGGGTATCCGACAATGCTATCTGCCTGTTTTCGATTCAATCTCTACAAACTTTAAGATTCACTGTCCCTAATTAGAGGAAGGGGTTTAAAATTCATTTTACTTACTAACATGTTCATTCTCCATCAGAACGGTAACTTTCAAGAAAGATTTTTTTTTAAAAAGCGAGATTCGCAATTCATTATGAACTATGTCAAGAACTTACTAATTAGAACGGTGAAATACTCAGTTCAGTTCTACGACCAAATTTAATTTAAGCGCAATGGCATAGAATAAATATTAATTTGTTTTTTTGACCTTTATTACAAACATACAAATACTAATTTTAAATACATGTAGTGCTCTTGTACCCTGTGGGTTAAAATTTGTGTATATATTCGTAATCTTTTTATCGGATAAGATTTAAGAAGCTTTTCAATTTATAATTCTTATGTATCATGCAGAGTTGACACATGGTACTTTAGTTTTGAAGTTTGGCAGACCTAGATGAAAGAGAATACAAACCCTATTAACGTACAAATATATATACATCTAGTTTTCTTTTATAAGTTGTTGGATCTTTTATTTTTAGGTCACCTGAGTAAACTCAGGTGACCGATTGCTATCCGTTTTCGTCCGTCGTCGTGCGTCGTCCGTCGTGCGCCGTGCGTTAACATTTGAACATTTTCAGCTTCTTCTCTGCAACCAATCAACCAATTTCAACCAAATTTGGCACAAAGCATTAATGGGTAAAGGGGAGCAAAAATTGTGAATTTCATGGTCACTGCCCCCCTGGTGCCTGAGGGGTGGGTCCAAAACCACTAAAATTAATAAAATCTTTAAAAATCTTCTTTTTTACTCCTGGACATCAAACAGTCAAACTGTTGACATGATTGTAATCAGCATTGATTCCTCTACCAAAATTATGAAATTCATAGCCCCTGGGTCAGGGGTTCTAGTGCTAGGGCGGGGCTAAATAGATTATATAGTGAAAATGCATAAATTCTTTAAAAATCTTATTCTCTGCTCCTGGGCATTAAATAAACTATCCAATTACATAGTTATGTTGAATAAGGCTGCCTCTACCTAAATTGTGAAATTCATGGCCCCTGGGTCAGGGGTTCTAGTGCTAGGGCGGGGCTAAATAGATTATATAGTGAAAATGCATAAATTCTTTAAAAATCTTATTCTCTGCTCCTGGGCATTAAATAGACTATCCATTATATTGAATAAGGCTGCCTCTACCTAAATTGTGAAATTCATGGCCCCTGGGTCAGGGGTTCCAATGCTTGGGTGGGGCTCTATTGATTATATATTACTGAAATTGCATAAATTCTTTGAAAATCTTCTTCTCTGATCCTGGGCATGAAATAAACTAACCAAGTACATAGTTATGTTGAATAAGGCTGCCTCTTCCAAAATTGTGAATTTCATGGCCCCAGGTTCTGGTGTTAGGGTGGGGCTAAATAGATTATATAGTGAAATTGCATAAATTCTTTGAAAATCTTCTTCTCTGCTCCTTGGTATTAAAAAACTAACCAAGTACATAGTTATGTTGAATAAGGCTGCCTCTACCTAAATTGTGAAATTCATGGCCCCTGGGTCAGGGGTTCTAGTGCTAGGGCGGGGCTAAATAGATTATACAGTGAAAATACATAAATTCTTTGAAAATTTTCTTCTCTGATCCTGTGCATTAAATAAACTAATCAAGTACATAGTTATGTTGAATAAGACTGCCTCTACCAAAATTGTGAAATTCATGGCCCCTGGGTCAGGGGTTCTAATGCTAGGGTGGGGCTCTATTGATTATATAGTGAAATTGCATAAATTCTTTGAAAATCTTCTTCTCTGATCCTGGTCATGAAATAAACTAACCAAGTACATGTACATAGTTATGTTGAATAAGGCTGCCTCTTCCAAAACTGTGAATTTCATGGCCCCAGGGTCAGGGGTTCTGGTGTTAGGGTGGGGCTGTAGTGATTGTATAGTGAAATTGCCTAAATTCTTTGAAAATCTTCTTCTCTGCTCCATGGTACTAAATAAATTAACCAAGTACATAGTTATGTTGAATAAGGCTGCCTCTTCCCAATTTGTGAATTTCAGGGCCCCTGGGTCAGGGGTTCTGGTGTTAGGGTGGGGCTCTAATGACTATATATAAGTGAAATCCTTAAATTCTTTGAACATCTTTTGCTTTGCTCCAGGTTAATATACAAATGCTCTTATTACATATTTAAGGCCAGCATTTTTTTTATTTTCAGGTTAACAAACCTGCCGCTCATGGTTTTGAATTTTCAGGATTTTTTTTTCTTTCCGATGTCAAATTTGAGTCGGGATTGAGATTTCAAATTTACGAACTTATACTTCCGGTTTTAAGATGAACATGGCGGGTAAACAAAAGTAGATCTGCAAAGTTCATAGCAGCACCATAGCTTGGTTTAGTGTAAAAATTTATCGATATGAGTGCTATTCAAAACGTTTTACTCGTTCAAAGGACAAATAATATGCTGCCGACTTTGTTGCACAATGACATTCTGGTGAGATCATTATGTATTCGTATCAAAAAAGTATCTGTAAATTAATTTCCTCCCTCAGGTTTAAAACTGCCCGTGGTAGCTATTGCCAGCGACATTGTTTAGGTCTCTGTTATAGCCACAGGCGCTTGTTTCATACAGTGAGCTTAGTTTTCTACTATATAACAGGCGCTTGTTTCATACAGTGAGCTGAAGAAATAAACAAAAATTCTACTATATATGTAAAAAATATAAGGTATCCATCTTTGTGGCAGCCAGGAAAAAAAAATGAAAAAATGGTCACCAATTCAAAAACTTTTTTTTATTTATTATCCGCAGCTGGCAACAAAAAACCTAACACATGTAAAAAATGGTTAAAAAATCGATTCTTGGAAATATATGTACATTTCACAAAATTTATATCCTACCCCCTCGCGAACTTTGATATTTACCATAAAATTACACGCTGCGTCAATCAAAAGAAAAAGTACATCTCTAAACAGCTCAGCACTTCCGCTTTGGCAACCGCGATATGATTCACAAGTTCTTAAAAAAAAAATTGGCTTATGATGAAGAAAGGTGTCTCTTTCAAAATGGAGTTTTCCATGCAATTGTATAAGGCACAAGAGAAAACTAAAAAATATTATTTTGAAATCTGCGCAAATTTGAAAATCGATTTTGGATTAAAGGTTTTCTGTCAAATATTTTGTAAGATGACAACGTGTTGGTGATTTTTAAGATGCCATTTGATAGTTATTTTTAAAGGAAAAGGGGGAGAGGAATATTTTTTGTATTTTTGATCTTCCTGTGATATTGGATTGGAAATGATAAATAAATTAACGGTGAAAAATGAGAATTTTGAACCAAACTATAGCGAAAAAAGCTACCAGTAGTCAATGAGATTCAAAATTGTGTTCGAAATTATTTCGCGATTGCCAAACCAATCAAAAGGCTCTGAGATTCGAAGTTCGAAATACGAGATCGAAATTTTTCGAGATTCAAAATCAGATTAACCAATCAAATGCGGTGTCAACATTTTTATGGTAAATGTTTTATCTATCAATAAATCGTTTAATATATTTATAACAAAGGAAATTTGATTAAATTACAATGCAAGAAAGAGTGTTATATATATTAGAAGGAAACTAAAATAATCATTGGACTTTTGATCTGCAAGATATACTTCAATTTATATTATGACTTCTTAAATAAAATAGGGGAATACATATATCAGGAATATATATATTTTTGCATTGTCTACTTTATATAAAGGGTTGTTGATATAATAATAAATTTATTATATAGATTAACAAAATCCTCACAAGCCACACCTGCCAATTTTTCACTGAAAATGTTACCTTAAAAACAAGGCAATATAGCCTGTGGTTTAGCTTAGAGTCTAAGTACATAAAAATTTTTCAATTAGAAAAGGGTCTCTTGAATTAATTAACAATTATATATATGAATAAATAAAGAAGTTAAGTCCATTTGAGGAAGAAATAAATAATAGCTATAGCCTGAAGAAATAAACAAAAATTCTACTATTAAAAATATGTTTAAAAAAATATATACAGGCATGTAGTATCGTTTGTGGCAGCCAGGAAAATTATTTTACACTTAATAGAAAAAATGTTCACCCTACTCCCCAATATACTCCATGTCTGTTTTATGATAGGAATTATAATTTTAGGCATCAAGTATATTTTAGAACAACATGTCTACACATTCACCTAACACATGTTTAAATCAAAGTACTCAGAAGTACAGAGAGCCGGGCTCATTTACAAAAAAAGTAGAAACAAATTATGAATTTCTTACATAAAAAAAAAAAATCATAACGTTTAAATTGTATTAACAGATTAAAAAAAAAAATATAAAGTTTTTAAAATTCTGATGAAAAAAATCATTTTAAATTTTATCAATATAAATGATACAGTTTTACCTCTGAATTGCTGCATATACCAGTAGTCCGATTTTGTCAGAATCAGAACTGCGTTAATCTGATTGTATTTCATAACTGAAAATAAACAAACAGGCCAGCACATTTGTGAAAATTCCTATTTCTGAATTCCGTGCTAGAATTTTTTATTTGTATAATGTTGATTCACTGAGTATTAAAACTTTGAATGGACACATGTAACACTGATTATCAAAACTCCTTACACCAATGAACTATGTTCTTTGACTATAAGAGCTGAAGTTTTCAAAAAGGTACTAAATATGTTTATTTATTTAGATAAAACTTTGTTTTATTTTGGTTGCAATAATTTTATTTAGCGTTTGTATTATTTTTTTAAAAGCGGTTGATTGAGTACATGTATTTATTTTTACACGTAACTTTAAAATGGCGACTATCAGAGAGAGAGAGAGAGAGAGAGAGAGAGAGAGAGAGAGAGAGAGAGGATCACATGTAACCCCGGCAATTGCTCTTTGAAAAAATAAGCCCGTAATTCTAAAAATGAGGAGTTTTAAAAAATCGATTTTTAAAAATATATTTTGATCAACATCACAAAATTTATATCACTAGCCCAAATCGGCAAATGAGGGACGTAAACAATTTTAAAAATGTTCTACTTTCCTATTTGAAACCATGATGTGTCCAGTGGCAAGGAGCCTGTAAGGATAGCATAAAAAAGAATCAAAAATGAATGTACAAATGTCGATAATTTATCCGTAAGAATTTAAATTTTTTTTTTTATTTTCTCCTCCTTCAGGACTTTTTTATTCTGATGTTCGTAACTAAACCTAAAAATAAAAAAAAAATGCTGGCCTTAAAATTTTTAAAAAGGTGCCTCTTTCAAAATTATATTTTCAGAGCCCCTGGGTAGGGGAAGTTATGCTAGTGTAGGGGTTATTTTGTCTAGGGGAAATAAATTAATGCTTTTTGATAAGCAATGGTGCCTCTTTCAAAATATATATATTTCTTGGATTTTGGATTAAAACAAGAACCAAATACAATCGCTGGAAAGTTGTTACATGATAAAAAATCCAATGATTATTTAACTTTCCTTCTAATATATATAACACTCTTTTTTTTTATTTTGGCTTTTGTTATAAATATATTAAACGATTGCCATTTGCACAGAGTTGTTGAACCCACATTTTTAAAGGAAAATCTGGAGAGGAATATTTTTTGTATTTTTGATCTTCCTGTGATATTGGATTGAAAATGATAAATAAATTAACGGTGAAAATGAAAATTTTGAACCAAACTATAGGCACTTGTTGGGCATACAAGACACTCGATCCTTTAATATTCTTAGAGAGTGTCCTGTTTTTGAAACAAGTACCTGTGAACAAAATTAAATTAATCCAGCATTTATAGAAAAAAGGTTGAAAGTACAGTGACATTCAAATCCATTTCTCTTAACGATTTATTGACCTTATAATCCTCACGTTTCAAGTTTTATCCCTCGCTAGCTCTAGTCTATAAATATGCAATGGGAAAGATATAGGCTTGTCACCTTTCGTAAAGATTGAAATAATGCCAAAGAAATAAAGGATTAATTATGACCTTAACGTACAAGTAATGTAAGTAGGTCCATTTGTAATCAGGCGCGATCGAGGTCTAATATTTAAGACATTATTAATTAATAATAATATTACAGATTAATTATAATATCTTAAAGGGTTAACCAAGAAATCAACATTATGAAGCAGTCTGATTTGGAAAGGAAAATATATTTTTTAAATATTGCGATAATTTAAAAAATTAATCTTCTAACTAAGATTGTGATTTGCATTTAGTTTTTAATACAAGCAATTTAATTATCCAAGTTCTTGATATTAACAAACAAATACAACAAGCACTGCAGACTACTTTTTATTGAAAAACAGCGCAAACCACAGGAAAGATTTAACACCACCAATGATAAGAAAGTAACTTAAACACACGTAAAAGTTAACATTTTATACATGAACTCTATTTCAGCTATCAAAGAAAACAGAACCTTTTTTCAACAATTATAGTCTTTTAGCATCATTGTATAAAGGGCGAATGAACAACGTGCAGCGAATGTTTATGTATGTTTGAATCAATGGTGATTCTGGACACTATTTAAAGCTTCTATTTCATATCTGCAACCTCAAAGCGTCAGGAAGACCGAGATAATCAGTGACGTCATGATCAGTGCAAAAGAAGCCATATTTAGTCCTGAAAGACAAAAAGTAAACAAGATAATTAAAATAAATTCAGACTAACTTTAAACATCGAGGAAAGCTTCTTTTGATATGACAGTCAGATATAGTGATACATGTAGCAATATTTATCATCTGATATATTATTTATAACGTACGTTACATGTACATATACATGTATAAGAAACGGTTAACATTTGTATAAATTTGTGTGAAGAACTAAATTTATGCTTCTAAAAAAATCATTAGTTATCCCCCTGAGTTTTAAGTTATTCTGAAGGAAAGGATAATCATTCTTTTACTAGATTATAGATTCTAAATAAATAATTTTTTTTTTCAAAGTTTAAATTTTTAGATAAAACTGAAATTTTATCCCCATTTGTCAAAAACATATTAATTTATTGATCAACCCCCCCCCCTTTTTTTTTTTACATTTTTCACTTAACTTTGCCCTAATCATCATCATTGTCGTCGTACGGGCTCTCATTGACATTCTCGTTATACTACAGAATTAACACCTTCCACTTACCGGCCCCTCCCAGACATGCCTCTACGTTACAGCCAGCATAACCGGAAGTTTCGTCACTGCCATCATCACAATCGTTGGAACAATCACAGACAAAGGCTTTCTGGATGCAAGTCATAGCTCCCGATTGACAAGTGAAAAAGGCAGAGGGACACAGCTACAAACAATATTGTACATGTATAATTATACAAATACGATAAAAAAAAGTATCAATGTAACAAGAAAGAAAAATACAAAAAGAATGAATTCATTTGCCTTCTGAAGTTTGCACGAATCTGTAGCTGCATAACTGTAGCTCTCCGAAAAAAAAATATATTGACAGACCGGTCTGTTATATTTGGAGGGGGGGGGGGCTACAGTTCTGCAGCTACCGAATCTCATGAGTGTACGTTCAACTTGGTTCTCTAGGCAATATTCTCGACTGAATAGAATTTACCTCATACAATAGTAAATACTCATATCTAACTTATTTTGATCAAGTGCGTGTGATTCATATTTTACCCATTCCTTAATTCATACCCGGTACCTTTTCTTTCCAACAAAAACAACTTTTATAGCATCTTACAATCAGTGTGAAAGAGTAACTATCATTGAACTAGTGCATGTATAAATCATTATAAAAGCCATGCCCATATTTCCTCACCTGTTGGTATGTGCCTGCAGCAACAGTTGGGCAGTCGTCAGGATTACAATCCCCGAAATCTCCGGAGTCGCCGGTACAGTCTTTTCCGCCATTTGCAGGCTTCGGGTTATCACATGTCCTTGACCTTGACCTTCTACCGCCGCCACAACTCTTGCTACAACTTCCCCATGGTGACCAGTCGGTCCATGCACCGTCAACTGTTACAGTAATAATCACAAATAATTTATTATAAAGATGGATAGTTGTATTACAGTATGCTTAAAATATTAAGGATATCCGATCCTCAGCCAGAAAGGATAACTCCAAAAATTAATATTTAATTTGAAATGCATCAAAATGAAGCTTGAAAATGATTTTTTTTTTCATGCAACAATTTTCATTTTATTCTTCTTTATAAGATTCAGGGTTTTTGGAAGTTTTAGAAAAGGTCTCATAAAAGTTGATATTTGTACCCTATAAACGAAAAAAAAAATACTGTACAGTTTTAGAGAAATAGGATTTTCTTGAATCCAGGCTTAGATACCAATGCTTATTAGCATGATATGAAATGAGAAGTGATTTGCGGTGTCTTGCAATGATAGCAAAAGCCTTTTACATTATGTATTATAGAATACATGACGGAAATAGAAGACAAAAATACCAAATAAGTAAAAAAATCATGACAATTTCTCTGAATGCCTGGATACCTATCGTTTTTTAACCCAAAATATATTTGTTGATCAATTTGCAATTAGAAAATGCATTGCTGATATTCCAATTCGCTTTTTCTGCAAAAATATTGGCGATTTGACAATTTGAAATTGAAAATATTATACTGACACGCAAAAGAAACGCAACACCCTACTTTAGGGGGGAATAATTATGTAAAGTAAAGAAT